TTGCATTTAGTACCTTTTTTGTGGAGAGGAACTATACTAGCCTCTTTCCATTTTGCAGGAAAAACTCCCTCAGAAACTGATCGGTTGAAGATAATGCACAGGGGGATGGACAGTGGCCCAGCACATTTTAGCACAAAAAATGGCGGAATTAGGTCGCCACCGGCACCTTTTTTAATATCTACCTTTGAAAGCATCTTAAAAACTGTCTTTTGCGTGACTGAGAAAGTGCCTGCGAAGTTATTAGAGTCTACTCCGGTATATGCCTGACCCGCCACAGAACTAGAACAAGTTGGCCGAGCAAACATACTCTTAAAGTAACAATTAAAAGCTGCACAAATGTCGTCGCTACCCGTTAACTGCTTGTCGTCTAACGTCATTATACCTGGATATCCTGTATTACATTTACGTTTAGAGTTAACGTATGACCACAGCATTTTAGGGTTACATTTAATGGTTTTTTGGCAGTGTGCTAAATATTTAAGATAACAGGCATTTTGCATAACCTTCATTCTCCCTTTGAGCATTGAAAACGTATCGTAATCCAATGGATTCTTATAACGTTTCCACCGCCGATGAGCTTTCTGTTTTTCCCTAAGCAAGTTAATGAGGGCACGATCATACCACACAGGGTATGCATCGTTAATGCTTGTGTCTACAACTGGTATAAATTGGTCAATTATGCGATACAAGATAGAGTAAAAAACGTCAACAGCCTCATCAACTGTGCCTGATGCCATTAAGCTAGTCCAGTCAACCATACGTATCTATAATGACTTCGTAATCTGCTGTTCTAAACATATATTTCCTTCTAGAGCACTTTTGCAAGGGTTTAACTTGTATGTCAGTCGCCTTAATAACTAGAGTTGTGTGTTGTATATCCTCCTTAACCAATGGAGATGCCGATTTAGCAACCTCCACATTAAAATTACAAAAGAAACGATCCAAAGTATTATTATTATTATTTTTTTATTGCCTTTGTAGGCAGACGGGCATACGGCCCACCTGATGGTGAGTGGTTACCGTCGCCCATGGACTTCAGCAATGCCAGGGGCAGAGCCAAGCCGCTGCCTACAAACCGCGTTATTTAGANGCGGCCGGAATTAATCAACAGAAGGGGTGTGGTTTTTCATCACGATAACGCTAGACCTCACACATCTTTAGCCACTCAGCAAAAATTAAGAGAGCTTGGCTGGGAGGTGTTAATGCATCCGCCGTATAGTCCTGACGTTGCACCTTCAGATTTCTACCTGTTTCGGTCTCTTCAGAATTCTTTAGGCAGTGTCAGGTTAATTAACATCACGAGAGGACTGCCAAAACCAATTGTTGCGGTATTTTGATCAGAAGCCCCAAATTTTCTATAGCAATGGGATCATGTCCCTACCTACAAGATGGCAAAAAGTTATCGAACAAAATGGTACCGGCATACTTTAGTTAAATGCGAATAAACTATATTAAAAATGTTGTGAATGTTCTTAAAAAATGCGAAGAAACTTTTCCCCAACCTATTATTATATAGAAATAAAATAGTAAACAATGTTTACAATAAGTGAGCTGTTTAGGCTTACTATACTATTTGACATTGGACGGTAATGGGTAAATTAAGTAAATGAAATTACAAATTTTACAGCGCCCCCTTAACTCACATCAACACCCCCAATTTTTTCCTGGGCCCCTTAACGCCCCCCTCTAGGTTTCAAACGCCCCCCAGGGGGCGTTATCGCCCACTTTGAGAAAGACTGTCTTAGAGTATCACAATTTCAGGGGCCTGATAGTAGTATAGTCACGGCTAACGTTCTGTATATTACTTATTAGAGCCCATAAACTGATGTGGACTGTTAACGTCCTACGAAATATTCGCTGGTTTTTTTTCGCCTTGTGCAAACGAACATTTAGACCGGCGCGTATTAAATATTTATTATGGCTGCAAACCGCCATTATTGGCAATAATCAAACGCGTTTTATGGTTTAGTTTATTTTACGTTGACATTTATTTGTTATCAATAACGTGACAATCTTATTTTAACATATTTTTTAATATTTAGTAGACTTTGTTTTGATGTGAAAATGTTCAGAAGGTGTTTAATTATTAATTTATTGTTTAAAAACACAAATGACTGTCAAAATACTCAAATAATAATTATAAGCATAAATATTAAATAAAAAATATTTATGTTATAATTAACATTAATAATACTGTTACGCCTGTAAGAGTAACGCCATCTGCCGTCGAATAGCAGAAACGAACTTCAAAAGAACTAGTAATATCGAGAGCGCTCGAGAAGTGTAACGCCATCTATTATCAAACAGCGGAGGCACATATCGAAACAACTGTTCTTGCCGGAAATATTCTCGATAATTGTAGAGATGTAGTATCGAGTATAAAAGCGTTGAAGAGTAACACGAAGGCAGTTAATAATCGGATCTAGTCGAGGCGAATCAGCGAATGGATCACCTGAAGCGAAGCGGAAGAAGTGAATTACGAATTGTAAAGTACTCTAAGTGTTAAATAGTTATAATGGTGGTTAGTCATCGTAAAATATTATTTATTTTATTATCAAAATGCAAGGTAGTCTAATAAACCTATGGCTTCGTCAGATTATAGAAACAAAGTTATCAGCAACATGCTCCGTCTAAATAAATTATTATACCTAGTCAGGTCATAAATTCTGTCACATGTTTAATGTAAAATAATTGAAACAAGTTTATTCATTATGTAACCATTCATATACCAAAATGAACTTAACAAAACATAGATTCTTATAACACTAAAGTTTATTCAAAATGACCTCCGTGATTTTGAATACAGGCCTTCAATCTGCGCGGCCAGTCGTCTATCGCAGCACGNGATGCAGACCAAGAAAGTAGGACTGGTTTACTAAATCAATTCCAGCATTCTGCAATTCAATGGAACCCTTTCTCAAATGTGTCGGCCCAGAAGGTCCCCATACAATATTAAACAAATTGAAATCCCCAGCCAATACGAACAAATCGTCCCTTAGCGACACGGCAACATCAGACACCAATTGTCGGCAGCTATTTATACGAGAAGGCAACGCTCGGTCTGGCGCCATGTAAGCCAGCGCTATATGCAAGTTATGCTCCGAGCCTATTGTTCGCCCGTCCACCGTAACCCACAAGCACTCGATATGATCGCGCTGCCATTCCGTACGCGCTCGCGCATTCAGTCGACGGGAGCACAGCATCATAACACCACCTCCGTTCGACCCACGGTCGCAACGAAATACCTCATACCTACCGTCCGATAACTCAGAATTCAAAACACTGTCATTAAGCCAAGTTTCTGTGATCAAAATGATATCGTGATCCGAGTTTAGAATGTTATTGTAGAAATCTATTGTTCTTGATCTTAGGCCTCGAACATTTTGATACATAAAACTTAATTTATCAACAATATTGCACGCGCCTTTTTCTACGTTTAAATTCAGTACTTGTATACCGCAATGATATGATATATTTGTATTTATTTTTGGTAATTTCCGGGACTTTATATTTAAAAATAGTATTATTAAAAATAAGATAACAAGCAATCAAATTGTCGAGGACCAAAAATGTTATTTTACCGCGATAACCACTATAATTCAAAACGAGCGCAGGGGTGATTAAGTAAAGTGTAGATGATTGTGTGTATGAAATGTAATGTTGTGGTAAGTAGATACTGTTGTTATCAAGCGACAAATAAAAATCATTAGAATTAAAATTAATTTTGGAAGAATTGACAATGAGTGCAATTATATATTTTGTTATTAGAACAGAATGAACTATTACAATATTTTTTTTTCAAATCTTCCTCGCAGGATATTAGAATGTACTTTGCGTTTTCTGCTTTTCTTGTATAGATACGGCAGTTTTTTGTCCAAACAAATTTATAACCGAAATCTTTAGCTTTTGCCTTGCAATTTTTTAATAATTGCTTGTTATGTACAGACAAATGCTCATTTACGTAAATCTTACTTAACTCACCCTGCATTCCAATATCCTTCGAGGTTAAACCATGACATTTCCGAGCGGCTGACAAAACCTCATCCTTCTTTGAACGACTATGGAATCTGATTATTAAATTACGAGGTGCTCCTTTTACTGATCTCTTCGCTTGAATACGATGGACGAAGTCCAGCTCCTGTTGGCAAATTTTTATGTTGAGCTGCTTCGCGATACCATTTATAATAGTTGGCAGTGATTCACCAGCACTCTCAGGAACCCCCACTACTTCGAC